TGTTTTGGTCATGAAGTCCTTGCCTACACCTATGTCCTGAATGGTTTTGCCTAGATTTTCTTCTAGGGTTTTTATGGTGTTAGGTCTTACGTTTAGGTCTTTAATCCATCTGGAGTTAATTTTAGTGTAAGGTGTCAGGAAGGGGTCCAGTTTCTGCTTTCTGTACATGGCTAGAGCATGGCATTCTTTCAGGACATTGTCTGTAAACCAGCTGAGTCTTCAGTAGGCCATTATACTCTTCTACTAGGCCAGATATTTCTGGGTGAAGGAATACATGGTATGACCAGTGAATTTTTTGGGCATAATCCCATCGTTGCGTTTCTTTTGCCGTGAAATAATCGCAAGCACTGTTGTGCAGAATATAATGAAAATCAATAAGGTTTTTTATGAGTCCATGAATAGTGGTGCCAGCATTATAGGCAGAGAAGGCAAGTCCATAACCAGAATATGTGTCTATTCCAGTGAAAAGATCTCTGTTCGCTTTCATGAGGGAAACAATCCAATATAATCAACCGACCACTAGGTGGCTGGCTGACTTGTCTCTCCAAGGCCTAGTGTTGGTTTGTGCTGTTGGCTAGTTATTATTGTTAGCAGTAGCAATGTAGCTGGGCTACAAGATCAGCCTTTGTGAGAAGATCATATTGCTGAATCCATACAGAGCCCCTATTCTGGACAATATGACCAGTTTGCACATGAGTCCATTGAAAAATCACTAGAGTGGCTAGGGAAAGTGGCTGACTGATGTCAAGAGAATGAGTCACTTTGTTCATCTGATCATTAAGTTTCCTTATCAGATGGTTCACTTTGGTGAGTATCTATGTGGGGCACAAATATATTCACATGGAGTGTTTCAACCATCCTGTAAGGTCCATCCACATACCTCTTCCTTAGGTCTTCTTGTATCAATCTTCTAACTTTGTCCTCTCTGAGTCCTTGATCATCCAGCCCAAATGTTAGCAACTGCCCATGGATCAACAATCCATACTTCTGACCATGTTTCAGTCCAGACAAGGTGGACAACCAAACATGTTGCTCTAAATTATGCTTATTAGGATAATTTCCCTTTGCTACTGTCCATCCAGGTCACCTCTCACTGGGACTGTAATGATGTAACCATCCACCTCTGGCTGGTAACAGCATATCATGTAGAACCATTTGTACACCAGGCCTGGGATTTTTCCTCCTCAATCTATCATTGTAGGAAACTCCTTATAAAGTAATATATGTGAATTGAGAGAGGAAGAGTTGCTGCTGAAGGACTCTTCATGGAATTACCTATTTTCCATTTCTGCATAAGTCTGATAGATGCCATTCCCACTTGATGACAGATTGCTGCCATGTGTATCCAACCTTATGGCGTGGTGGTCCACGTAGCACCCATGAACTGCACTTCATAAAGGAAAGCTCAGTTAACATTGCCGCTTGATGTCCCATAGGCAGGCATTCAGTCTCTAGGGCTAAACAGCCAGATGGTAGCTGTTTGTGAAAAACTCAAATAATTATTTGCAGAGAAGGACATGTATTTGCTCCAAAATCCTAGAGGTCTATATGATGATTTTCCTTTGGTACAAAGGGTATCTGCTTACTACATAATAGAGTGAGTATTTTATATGTAGAACTGTTTCAGTATTCAATATCGCCATTCTCAGGGGGTAGTTTTTATTTTCTTGTTAGAAAGCTTTTGTTTAAAATACGTTGTTTTGGTTGGGCAGTGGCACACGCCTATAATCCCAGCACTTTGGGAGGCTGAAGCAGGTGGATCATCTGTGGTCAGGAGTTCAAGACCAACCTGGTGAGGGTGGAGTGGAGGAAGGTAAAAAACAAAATCAAAAGACCAACCTGGCCAACGTGGTGAAACTCATCTCTACTAAAAACTACAAAAACTAGCTGGACGTGGTGGTGTGCTGTAAGTCCCAGCTATTCAGGAGGCTGAGGCAGGAGCATCTCTTGAAGCCGGGAGGCAGAGGTTGCAGTAAGCTAAGATTGCACGACTGCACTCCAGCCTGGGCAACAAAGCGAGACTCCATCTCAAAAAAATAAAATAAAATAAAAATAAAAATGTTTTTTTGTTTGTTTAACTTTTTGTTTTTGACTGGCATAACAAAATAAAACATGTTATTTTTATCTTCTGATCTTCCTCAAAATTCTACTCAGGTTTCTATTGACCCTGTTATTTTATGTCAAGTTTTCCTCCACTTTCCTTCTCCTATTGTGTTTTCTCTTATATTTTCCTCCTTTTATTTTCTATGAATATTGCCTTTTCCATCGACTTTTTCCAAGTTTTCCTCATTTCTTTTTTTTTTTTTTTTTTTTTTTGGAGACAGAGTTTTGCTGTTGTTGCCCAGTCTGGAGTGCGATGACGTATCTCGGCTCATTGCAACCTCCTCCCCGCAACCTCCGCCTCCCGGGTTCAAGGGATTCTCCTGCCTCAGCCTCCTGAGTAGCTGGGATTATAGGCATGTGCCACCATGCCATGCTAATTTTGTATTTTTAATAGAGACGGGGTTTCCCCATGTTGGCCAGGCTGGTCTCAAACTCCTGACCTCAGGTGATCCACCCACCTCAGCCTCCCAAAGTGCTGGGATTACAGGTGTGAGCCACACGCCCGGCCTAGAATTTGATTCTCACCATAACTCAGGGCTTTTGCTCTTAAGCGACCGACAGCATTTCCGAAAATGTAGACCATGTTTCCGTCATAGTAGGTTTCTCACATTTAATCACTTGGCTGCTCTATTAACTGTTATTAGAGAAACAAACATGAAATCATTCCCGTCTTTGTTGCTTTGCTCTGTGTCTTTTAGTTTTCTGACTTCCTTCACCGCTTTCCTGGCTCTCACTTTAGAGGCTTGACTGTTATCTGTACTGTAATATCCTAGAATCTGATTACCAGATTCTATCTACACTAGTCAAAGCCCAGACACCTGAGAACCTCTCTCTGGAGACTGGGTATTTTTATTCATAGCTAACTAACTGAAACTGCCCGGAGAAGCAAGCCCTCCTTTATGGGGACCACTTCCCTTAGTTGGGGCATTAATTCTAGTCCTCTCCTGTTCTTGCTATACTACAGGTTAATTCCAGTAATGCTTTTTTTCTTTTTGACATAATCAAAATAATAATAGCTAACAATTACTGAGCCCAGACTAAGCACCAAGTATTGTGATAACTGCACAGGAAGCTTGTCATGTGGACGTTATTATTCACATTGTACACATGATGGAACTGAAGCATAGTGAGGTTAAGTGACTCATCCAAGGCTACACAGCCAGTTGTAAAGTGGTAAGTGAAGATTCAAAGCCAGGTAGTATGATTCTACAGCTCATCCCTTAATCACTACATGACTGCATTCTTACAAAAATGATTTAAAGTGCTTGACTTTCTGAAAACTGGTAGGCAGCATCTAGATCCTAGTGGATTTTTTTTCTGCTGTACCAAGATATTTAGATTTCACTCGAGTCAAAAATGTCACTAAAGACTTCTAAGCAAAGCAGGAATACAATCAGATTTGGGTTTTTTTTGCAAGATGGCTTTATCAGAATTGTAGAGAATGGATTAGTGGAGGTAGATTGGAACACTGGGTCTTAAACTTTAGCTTCAGAATTACCTGAAGAATTAATTAAAACACAGATTACTGGACCCCACCCTAGAGTTTCTGATTCAGTAGGTCAGGGGCAGCTTGATAATTTGCCTTTCTAATAAATTCCCAGGCGACGCTAATGGCACTGTTGAGGGGACCACACTTTGAGAACCACTGGACTCAAAGCAAGGAGGTCATGTGAGAGGGTACAAGGGTCTGGACTGTGACCCTGGGGAGGAGAGGTGATGTAAAGAAGCTCTCCCGTCAAATGGCAGGTTGTGGTGACTGAGTTGACGAGGAGCATAAGAAAAAGGGCAGAGTCCACTATATATCCAGATTTCTGAATTGAATGGCTTAGTAGATAATGCTTTTTGTTAACGAAAACAGGAAATCCAGGTGGAGCAGCAGTTTAGGAGGGAGAGGACTTGATTTTATATGAGATGAATTGAGACTCTTTGTGGGGACGGTTAGCTCAAAGATGAACAGTAGCAGTTTATTATGTGGGTCTAAGCTGGAGATGAACATGTGAGAGCCAGAGTGGATGCATGATCATAGAAGTTTGGGGATTGAATGAGACTAGCCAGGAAACAAACACTAGCAAAGACAGATCTCTGATAAGGATGAATCTCGATGGAACCCAGCAGGCCATTCAAGGAGACTAAGAAGGAACAGTACTTAGTTCCTGAGTGCTTAGGAGTTTCAAGAACACATCAAAAGGCTACAGAGAGATTATGTGAGAGGAAGGATTGGTGATCTTTATGGTCAGAACACTTTCCATGGAGAACAGACCAAAAGCAGATTGCTTAAGTTTGAGAAATGGAATGGGAAGTGACTCTAGGAAAAAATGCATTCATTATTTGAAAGGAAAGAGATTGTGTAGTACTGGGAAGGAAGACTGGTAAAGGACAGTTGCCTTAGGAAATTTGTTTTTGACTCTTTTCAGTGGAGAAAAATGGTCACGGTTATGCAAAGGAGAAAGGTCCTTAAGAGCAGAAGGTTGGAGGTAGATGAGAGGTGATAATGAAGTTAGAACCCCAAAGACACAGTAGAAAGTGGGACTGGAACATAGGTAATAGGAGTACCAGTTCTTCTGAGACAGCAGGGAAGGAAGCCTATTTATTTATTGAGACGGAGCCTCACTCTGTTGCACAGGCTGAAGTACAGTAGCACGATCTCAGCTCTTTGTAACCTCTGCCTCCTGGGTTCAGGCGATTCTCCTGTCTCAGCCTTCCAAATAACTAGGATTACAGGTGCATGCCACACGACCAGCTAATTTTTTAGTATTTTTAGTAGAAATGGGGTTTCACCATTTTGGCCAGGCTGATCTCAAAATCCTGACATCTAGTGATCCACCTAGATCCACCAGCATTCCTAGAGTGCTGGAATTACAGGCATGAGCCACCATGCCCTCCTGGAAGGAGATTTAGTTGAGAGTTAAGATGCATAGGATTTTACATATGGGAACAGCAAGTTAGAGGTGTTCATACCCAAATAGCCATAATGTCCTCTGGCCAATAGATTATCTGCAGAAATGAAGGTGGAGCATACAGTTAAAATCTTGAAAATGAAGGTTAGAAAACATGGGCTCTTTAGGGATTCAGAACAAACCAGGAATAAGTAAAGTTTTTGCTATAGCACTAAGGGCCCAGTCATCTAGGTATTTGAACTGGAACAATCTGGCTATCTGCATGATACCTACTTCCCCTTCTCCACCAGTCAGTCATCAGCATCAAATGGCAGGCAGGGTATAAAAACAGTGAAAGGGTATGAAAGGATTCTCAGCTCTATAAACCACTATAACCATTTGATAAACCACAACTTACTGGTAAGCTAGTTTTCACTTTTCAATTGTTAATCACTTGCTTAATATTTGAGACTGTCTGCAATTAGTGAAACCCCCATTTAAGACTTAGAATGCTTTCGGTATATTTTTATTTACAAATACATTAAATTCACAGCAGTGGGCAGAGGAGAATAGCAAAAAACGTAAGGTAATTACACATACCTGTTTCAGCCTTCTGACTACAGATCCACTCCTCACTTGGCTGTGCTGTTAGCGGCCCAGCTCTTGGATATAGGTCAAGATAACTTTGAATGGCATGATGGGGAAGGTGGTAGGATTTGCAGAAGGAAAACTTTAGAACTCAGTTACTATCCGTTGGTTCTTCAAGAGTTGACAGTATTGCTTTTGGGCTGTGTGTTTTTACGAGACCAGAGAAGTCCAGCAAAATGAGTGTTATTTTAGGTGATAGAGTTGGAAAAGAAAAAGGAAAACTATTGTTCTATTTACCATGTCAGTTCATTGCCTAGGGACAGTTGAAGACAACGTGCAGTCCTTTCACAAAAAATGCCACAATTCAAACTGCTGTGTTAAAAATTGAGGAGAAAAATAACTTTTTAAGTTGATGATTAGAATTCAGGAATGAAGAATACACAAATACCTAAAACCAATATTGTCATTGTAAAAGGCATAATACAATTCCTGTAAACTTCATAAAGTTTCATAATCACAGGAGCTGAGTTAATTGGTTTTTAATATTCTATCTAATGTTCTCCTCATAATTAAGTTACATTCAGTGGAAGTTTTTTAAAAATTACTATTTTTTCGTATACTTAAAGCAGAACAGCAATTAAGACCAGAGTCCATTTTACACTGTGTCCAAAAGACCAGCAGATGGCGCCCAGCAAGCCCGCTAGGCAAAATGAGTGAGGACTTTTCCATGTAGCATTCCCTGCATCCAGGTTGTTTTAGGCCTAATTTTGAAGAGAACATAACAAAACTTGATGGCTTTAACCAATACTGTGCTAGATAGAATAATCAGATAGCTATATCCAGCTGTTTGGGAAGTTCTAAGATGCTTACTTGCCTTTTTGCCCTTTACTATCTTGTACGTGTGTGTGTGTGTGTGTGTGTGTGTGTGTGT